CCGCGGGCGCGGCGCCTTCTGAGCGGTGTCGGATGCTGCTGCCGCCTCGGCGGCGGCGGCGGCTGCCAGCTCCGGGGCGCTGTAACTGTCACGCTGCACCTGAGCTGAACTTGAAAAGAGAGTGAAGGGGCGATTGGGCGACAGCTTTGGGCAGACATAGGGGTGCTGGCCGACGGAGTCGAAGAGGATCGCCATTCACGCCCCCGGTGCCCACCGCGCCATCACCTCCATTTCTGCAAAGACCGTCCAAGGAGCAGAGGCGGCGACCGGACTCCCCAAGACAGACGAGGGGGCAGCGGCGGGGACTGTGTCTGCAAAGCTACAACAGGTCGCCTTTGGAGACTCCTTTGGCGGGAAGGTGCACTTGGAGAGGGAAGGCTCAAAAACAGGAGGAGAGAAGAGAGAAGGGTTTTCATCCAAGGACTATCACTGAGCACCTCCTTCTTGGTGCTCCTCCGGGCATCCCGACCCCACATCACCCAAACGGTGTGTCTTGGGGGGCACAAACACCTGTTTGAAGAAACTCCTCCTCCGGAGTCTCTCGGGTGCTGGTTTCCCCCGCGTGGCCGGGTTCCAGTGCTGCAAGAGGTCTGGACAGGTTCTGCCCGTGGTGATGGCTATGCCCCTGTGATCTTGCTGCGATCTCCCCGAAATACTGGTCTTCCAAGGCATCCTTCCCCGGTGAGTACTGCAGCTGCACCCGCCCTGCCTGGGAGTCTCTGGTAGAGACAGTGTTTTCATCACCCAAGAGAAAGAGGGCGTTTGTGGCTACTTGGCCCCACTGTCGAGGCCTGGTCACCTCTCTTGTTGCCTCTTAGCCAAGGAACCATGGCGGCAGGGGTGGCAGCCTGGCTGCCCTTTGCCAGGGCAGCAGCCATCGGGTGGATGCCCGTGGCCTCTGGGCCCATGCCCGCGCCCCCCAGGCAGGAGAGAAAAAGAACTCAAGATGCCCTCATTGTGTTGAATGTGAGTGGCACCCGTTTCCAGACGTGGCAGGACACCCTGGAGCGCTATCCGGACACGCTGCTGGGCAGCTCCGAGAGGGACTTTTTCTACCACCCAGAGACGCAGCAGTATTTCTTTGACCGTGACCCGGACATCTTTCGCCACATCCTGAATTTCTACCGCACGGGGAAGCTCCACTATCCTCGCCACGAGTGCATCTCGGCCTACGACGAAGAGTTGGCCTTCTTCGGCCTCATCCCCGAAATCATTGGCGACTGCTGTTACGAGGAGTACAAGGACCGCCGGCGGGAGAACGCCGAGCGTCTGCAGGACGACGCGGACACCGACAACAACGGCGAGAGTGCGCTGCCCACCATGACCGCTCGCCAGAAGGTGTGGCGGGCCTTTGAGAACCCCCACACCAGCACCATGGCCCTGGTGTTCTACTATGTCACGGGCTTCTTCATTGCCGTCTCGGTCATCGCCAACGTGGTGGAGACCGTGCCCTGCGGGTCCAGCCCCGGGCACATTAAAGAGCTGCCCTGCGGTGAGCGGTACGCGGTGGCCTTCTTCTGCCTGGACACGGCCTGCGTCATGATCTTCACCGTCGAGTACCTGCTGCGCCTGGCCGCGGCGCCCAGTCGTTACCGTTTCGTGCGCAGTGTCATGAGTATCATTGACGTGGTGGCCATCCTGCCTTATTACATTGGGCTGGTGATGACGGACAACGAGGATGTCAGTGGGGCCTTCGTCACCCTCCGGGTCTTCCGGGTCTTCCGTATCTTTAAGTTTTCCCGCCATTCTCAAGGCCTGCGCATCTTGGGGTACACGTTGAAGAGCTGCGCCTCTGAGTTGGGCTTCTTGCTCTTCTCGCTTACGATGGCTATCATCATCTTTGCCACGGTGATGTTCTACGCGGAGAAAGGATCCTCGGCCAGCAAGTTCACCAGTATCCCTGCGGCCTTCTGGTACACCATTGTCACCATGACAACGCTCGGGTAGGTCCTACCGAGGGCTTGGGTTGGGTGGCGAGTTAAGTGGTTTAAACTCTAGGAAATGGGTATGCTAAATAGATCGTGGCACTTAGATGTCTCTGGCGGATGGTGAGTTTTGGTGTCTGAAAGTGATAAAATGCACCAAGGTTAGAATTCCTGAATATGGGAGAAGATTTATAATAGCATATGTACAAATGCATAAAATAGAGAAGCAGTGAAAGACACTAGATGTGTACCCAAATAAAGATATGAATATGTATAATGTATATCGAAATGTCTAGAAAGTGAATTCAGAAAGTTATAGACGTATAGATGCCTATTTGCTGTAGTGTTTTCATGTAAATATAGGCTTGTGGGATGCATTTTTCCTTTACAGCCATAATTCTTATTTTATGACAATCTAAAACACCCATAGACATCATTATTTAAAGATTTTGAATATATATTTGTGCATAGTCATACATTTACTATTTATTATGGTTAATCGGTTTGGTTCTTGACAGGACTTGAGGGTTTTTCAACTCTACCAAATGTAGTGGGATGCCATGTGCATATTTAAGTTAGAAGCAAATGACTGCCATCATATATTTTTAAGAAGCTCCAGATCACCAGGCCATGATCAGTGCATGTTCATGAAATAAAAGTAGAAGGTATGAATAGTACCTAGGGGGTTAGTCAGCCAAGGAATGGCTGTATTATCAAATTTTAGGTTTAATTATAGAATCGTTTGTGCATTCTTTTATTTTGAAGTAATGATGCTTTGCAACCAAAGGGAGATGATCTGAATAGTGTGTTTGTGTGTAATAGAATTTTACATCTTGAATTTAGATTTTTTAAAGGTGGTATTAAAAGTGAACTACATGGGATAGTTAATAATGTTAATCAAACTATAGAAAGTAGCAGCATTTAAAATGTAATGAAAGAAGTGGAGAGAGCCTTTTACTTTTATGAGTTCTTAGGTAAGCAGGAATGCTGTTACTGCCCTTTCTTAAACTGTATGCTACTTCTCTTGCATAGGCAATCAGTTCGAGATGACTTTGATAAGAGAAGTTATTCTCAAGGCTGCTGTTTAGGTTTTGTGTTTCTGATTAAATTTGATTGGCTTCTTTAAAAGGCACTGTGGTTAAAGTCAACATAATTTGATCAGACATATTTTATTGAACATAATTTCTCCTTTTACCGGGTGGCCAACTAATGGAATTTTTTATAGATGAAAAAGTTTTGACAAACTTAAGTTACTATAGTAAAATAAAATGCAAAGATTTACAATTGTAATTTATTCATTTACGTATTTGTAGAAGACCCTACAGGCACAGTTTAGAACTTGAATGAGTAAAACACCTCTGCCCTCTTATTTCTGTCTCCTGCCCTTTGTTTGGTTATGGTGTGGCCTTGGGAAGAGGCTGCAGAGGGTCCGACCAGTTTTACTGTCTGCTCCTTAGCAGAGAGAAGTTTTTGTTTATCTTTTTGTTATTGAAATAATTATGAGCCTAAGTTGCAGATTGCTGCACACTCGCGATTTTGAAGTAAAAGTGTCTATCAGCATGCTAAAAGGATACCATGTTAAGATGGAATAAAGGGAAATGGTGTTAAAAGGTGCTTTAAAAGAATTGGATATATAATGCAATGTTTTTCCTCAGGTATCAGTGAGTTATTTTAATGCTGTATATTTCTTACATGGTTTAATATGAGTATTATTGCTATTATTATTATAGTGAATTTGGATGAGATGCTAATTACATTTGGGCAGAATTTCTACTATAAACATGAAAAGCTAGTATCATTTCCCCCCAATCTGACTTTCAACTTTAATTTGAAAGATATTTCTGCTTTCAGAAAAAGAATAAAGAAATGTTAAAACTACTGAGAAGGTTTTGAATTTTATATATATAAGTAAAATGCTTGTAGGAAGCTATCTTTTATAACCTGCCTTTTATAAGACTTAAAATACTGGATCATATGTCTGAGTAAAATAAGTGCATTTGATTTAGTTTGCATCTTCCATGCGTAAGTGGATTAGAATAATTAAGTGCCCAGTTTTTCCTGAGAACTCAGAGGTAAATGGCATTAACTTTTAAGACGTAAATTCCACAGATTTTAAGAAATGTAATTTTGGGGAAATTTAGCTAATTTAACTAATTAAGGATGGAATACGTACTTTGAAGGGCAACGACTTCTCTTTCAGTTTGCCGTATGGTAGGCGACTTGACTGTGGCTAGGCTGCTGGAAGCTGTGCAACTGGTGTTTTAGGTACCAACAGGGTCGCCCAAGGTGAACAGGCTCAGTGGAACTTCCAGTCTCGGATAGACTGAGAAGGGCCGAGTGGTGAACTCCATTGGAAAAAGCTGGCCAGAGAAAACCTTACAGATATCAGCAGAACATAGCTGATACAGTGCCGGGAACTGGGGGTGCAGTAAAGCTTTCACAACCCTCATTTACTGACATTGGCATGACTGGAAATGAGAAGAAACAGTTGCACACGCTCCTTAGTAATCAGAATGTAGAATGTACAAAGTACTAATCTAAGAAAAATGGAAGTTGTCAGTAATGAAATGGAATGCATGATGCTAGATACCCTAGGTATTAGGATGCTGAGATGGATTCAGATGCTGTGAATTTGACAAATATGTGGTCAACTTTGGCGGGAATGACAAATGGAAAAGGAATGGGGTCACATCCATTGTCAAAAAAACCAGCTCAAGACCTATCCTGAAATAGCACACTGTCAGTGATAGGCTCATAGCCACACACCCCAAGGAAAACCAATTCATATGACTATTTTTCAAATGTACACAACAATCACTATTGCCAACTTGAAGAAATTAAAGATATTTACCAATTTCTGCAGTCTGACATTGGTTAACCCTGCAATTAAGGAGCATTGACTATTATTGGTGTTTGAAATGCACAAACTGATAAAGAAGAAGGATCAGTATTTGGAGAACATGACCTTGGTGGGAGAAATAATGCTGGAGATACAATCGATGTTTGTACTTTTAAGATGTAGAAATTTTTGTGGCTATCAAACTACAGTCCCCATGAAAAAGCAGAGATTACATTTTCTTATGAAAGTTAACAATTGAAAAGGTGCCATTTTTATGGTCTCTATCAATTTCTTTAATAAAAAACTCATTCTTTTCATATGATTTTCAATAGGGGAAAGCAAGCTACTACATGCCATCCTTGCAGAGTTCTTCTCTATTATGAAACTTTACAGATTTGACTGTGTACACAATTTCCTGATTTCTGAGCAAATCGGGAAAATGAAGCTTATTTATCTTCATATTCATCAGAAATAACCATGGTCGAATTACACCTTTGCTCTAAAGAAAACAGAATACAGTCACACCTCACTTAACATCCACTCAGACAAAATCCAACAGTATATGTTTGTTGTCCCAGAAAGTTAGAATACGGTTCAGATATCCCAAACAGCTTCCCATACGTCACATGTATATTGTATGTCCCTTGTATACAAGAGGCTGTGCTGCCAGGTTTAAAAAGATACATTACGTAGATAACCGACAACTTTTGTCTCAAAATTTACAGTAAATACCTGTGTTACTGACTTATGTGTTTACAATACTGTACTTTCTATGTGAAAATTTTACAACAGTGAATGCTTCAATTTGAACATATCTTCTCACCCATATACTGCCCATATAACCCCATATACCGTTATCACCCTGTTTACTTTTCTTTCCAATATGTAACCATGAAGTAAACCAGGACTCTCAAACACAGAAAAACCAGAGGTAGTGATTGTAGCAGCGAGAGGCAATGAAGTAACAATGTGGAAGTGAAACAAAGTTAATTAGATATCAGTGAACTCTACTACTCACAATTCAGGTATGTTGTATTTGAAAATTACAGTGATTTCCACCCCCCCCGCCCCCCTCCCGCCCCCCAAAATCTCCAAACTGTTAAAGTGAAAACTACAAGGCTCAGGAGACTGCAGGAGAAACGCCCATCAGAGGTGGAGAAAGTAGGAATAATGTGAGCTGAGGCCCATAGATAAAACTGTTTCCCTCTTATCACTTGATAATCACTACTATGGAGAGAAACTTATTTGAGATTCTTAAAGAAAAGGCCAGGCCAGATTACGATATGGTGCTTACACAATGTCCAGATTATGGAAGACGATCTCACAGAACATATTTTGGGTGCTGAGCAATACATGACCATTATGCATATTGTGTCTATTTATCTGACCCAGGTGAACCAGCTGTATAATACTTCACATTTCATAGGTTTGGTGGATTACTATTTTAAGAAACAGAAAGGCAAACTAATTTTCAATGAAATTTTTGCTAACAATATATCAGGGAAATTCCTGTTTTAGGATGGCATATTTCAAGAGAAATGTACAATAAACACAGATAAATAAATAAAAAGAATGACCTTTTCAAGCCCCTAAACCTGTGATCTGTTTACTCTGGTTACATTGCTTTGGCAAACTTTAGCAATCTATGATTCAGAGTCATTTATGTGGAGATATTTAGGTTATCAAAGTATTGCTGAAATTTGATAGGATTATTTTATAATATGCCAACATTCATACACATGCATGGCTAAGTTATTAATCTAACACATCTTTACCAATTGGAAGCTACCCTATTTATCCCTATGATGAAGAGCCATACTAGAGATAACAACAACTGTTTGGATTTTGGCCTATTTAAGCATATTTCATAATGTTTTGTTATAAAGCATGTTATTTGATGAGTTGAAAATGAATCTCTAAGGAAATGTAGACGTGGGCGTGTGTCATTTTGCATCACAGGTATTCAGATATAAAGCCTCTTGACTGTCCTCTAGGCATCATTTGAATTGGAGACAATGGTTGGCAGAGTGTATGTTGTGTTAGGCTGGGTTGTCTGCAGAAGCAAAACCGGTACATGAGACACGTGTGCAGTTGGCCTTTGTACAACACAGGGATGAGGGATGCCAACCTCCCTCACATGTGGTTGGAAAATCCACATATAATTTATAGTTCACTCCTG